ATTTTTATGCAGAGAAAATAATCTGAAAAACTGAATTATATAATATGGTATCAAGATTGGTGTGAGACTCCTCTAACAACCTGCATTATGCAGATGAAACAACCTTAGTTTCAGGAATCAAAGAATACATGTAATACTTATTGATGAAGATTAAAAACCACAGCCTTCATTATAGATTTCCCCATGGTGTAAAGAAAAAAAGAGATCCTCACCACTAGACCAATATAATATCATAATAAATGGAATAAAGATTGAAGTTGTCAAAGACTTCATTTTTGCTGGGATCCACTATCAACATTCATGGAAGCAGCAATCAAGAAGTCAAATGACTATTGCATTAGTCAAATAGTTTGCAAAATACCTCTTTAAAGTGTTCAAGAGCAAAGATTTAAGTTTGAGGACTATGGTGTGACTCACATAAGCCATGATATTGTGAAGATGTTACAGGACCGACAATGTTTTGTTTTGTTGTGCATAGGGTAGCTATGAGTTGAAACTGACACTGATGCTACCTAACAATACAAATGAAGAAAAAAGTACCTGTGTTCCCTCCCTCTGTCATAATGTATTTTATTGAAAAAATGGTTGTCAGTGATGATAGGGCTTATCATTAATAATTAAGTATTAGTGCATTTTTGTTTTGTGTACCATCTACTACACTGTTATACTGCACGATGCTAATTATTAATAATAGTAAATTATCGCAAGTCCCATAACTCTAAAGGTACTGACAAGCTGGTGGGACTTGAAAACATCCATTTCAGCATTGAATCTGGCATGAATGTATGGCAGTTCCCTGTCAATGGAAGATGTGAGGAGTTACATGAACTGAGCAGAAAGGTTTAAAGGTCAGCTTGAGAAGAAGTCAAATATTATAATGAAATGTGCAAAGACCTGGATTTAGAAAACCAAAAGGGAGGAACATGATCAGCATTTCTCAAACTGAGTTAACTAAAGAAAAAAATTCAAGCCTCAACATGTATTATTGAAGGATTCTCTTAGTAAATTGTTGAATGATGCAGAAATTATCAAAAGTAGAAGGGATACATAGAGTCACTGTACCAAAAAGGACTGGTCGATGTTCAACCATTTCAATATGATTAACAGCCAATGATCCTGAAGTTCTAAGAAGTCCAAGATGCATTGAAGGGATTGGCAAAGAAGAAGGCATCAGGAATTGATGGAATACAAATTGAGATCTTTCAACAAACTGATGTGGAACTGAAGGCACTCACTTATCTGTTTCAAGAAATTTGGAAGACAACTACATGGCCATTGACTTGGAAGAGATCCATATTTGTGCCCATTCCAGAGAGAGGTGACCCAATGGAATGCAGAAATCAGTGGACAATATCACTGGTATCCCATCTGAATAAAATTTTACTAAAGGTAATACAAAAATGACTGCAAACATACACTGACAGAGAACTTCCAGAGGTTCAGTCCAGTTTCCGAAGAGAATGTGGAACACTGATGACGTCAGATGGATCTTGGCTGAAAAAGAACACCAGACGGATATTTACTTTAATGACTTTAATGACTAAGCAAAGGCTTTCAATTGTGTGGATCATAACAAGCTATGGACAACATTGTGAAACATAAGTATTCCGAAACACTTAATTGTGCTCATGAGGAACCTGTACATGGACCAAGAGGCAGCTGTTTGAACAGAACACGGGAACATTGAATGGTTTAAAGTTAGGAAAGGTGTGTACTAGAATTTTATTCTATAACCATACTTATTCAGTCTGTATGATGAGCAAATAATCTGAGAAGCTGGGTTAAAAGAAGACAAATGTGGCACCAGCATTGGAGGAAGACTCATTAAAAATGATTAATGAGGAAGACTCATTAACAGATGTTACAACCTTGCTTGTGGAAAATAAAGAGGACTTGAAATATTTACAGATGAAGATCAAAAGCCACAGCCTTTATTTAGTATGAGTTGCACCTCATTGAAAAGAAAACAAAAATCCTCCCCACTGGACCAATATGCAATATCCGTACCGATGGAGAAAAGATTGAATTTGTTAAAGACCTCATTTTTCTTTGCTCAACACTCATGGAAGCAGCAGTCAAGAAATCAAACGATGTATTGCATTAGGCAAATCTGCTGTGCAAGATCTTTTCAAAGTGTTGAAGAGCAAAGATGTCAGCTTGAGAACTAAGGTGTCCCTAACCTAAGCCATGGTATTTTCATTTACCTCATATGCATGTGAAAGTTGAACCATGAATAAGGAAGACCGTAGAAGAACTGACGCATTTGAGTTATGGTGATGGAGAATTTTTAAAGTACCATGGACTGCCAAAAGAACAGACAAATCTGTGTTGGAGAAACTACAGTCAGTGTGCTCCTTGGAAGCCAGAATGGCCAAACTTCGCCTCTCATATTTCTGACATATTATCAGAAGGGACCAGTCACTGGAAAAGGATATCATGTTTGGTAAAGTGGAGTTTTGGAGAAAAAGAGAAAGACCTCCAATGAGATGGACTGGCTCAGTGATGGCAGCAATGGGACCAGGCATAGCAACAATTGTGAGGTTGGCCCAGGACCGGGCAGTGTTTCCTTCTGTTGTGCATAGGATCGCTATGAGTCAGTACTGACTGGATGGCACCTAACAAAATCATCATCTCAGGATAATGAATTCACACCTTAATGTACACATGTGTGTGCACGCACACACACGAATCAAGTTAAAATAAAGCAGGAATAAAGTAACATTTTTTTCTTTTAGTAAATTTAAACATTTAAATAATCTAATAATTAAATAAAACTATTAGCAAATAACTTAAGGATAAAATTTTTTCTCTATTTTTTATTTTAGCCATACATGCATTCAAAGTAATCTTTAAGATTATATTCCTTATATTTACTGGCATGTAATGTTTAAGTATATAGAATCTTTGAATACAACAACGTGCAATTGAATATAAGCAGTACCTCTTTTAATTAAATTGTACATATATTTAAATAAAATTGCTAGACTTTAAGTTTAAAGGTTTTTTTTTTCTTCTTGAAAAGAGTTTTCTAAAGTTGACCATGAAAGCCCCATTGAAGAGCTAATAATGTCTACATGAGTGTTTAACTGATGGACTTAAACTTGATCCACTGATTTGTCCCACGGATTTCAAAAGATGGGCTGGTACTGTAGATATGATGACCTAATTCTTCCAAAGTTGGTTCCTGATCAGTTACAGCAAAGTGGGCCGCATCCTCAATTTCTTTCTTTACTTCACCATCAATTTCCTTGAATTCATCCACACTGGCAAGCTCGTTATTTACCATTCTATCTTTGAGAAGCATAATAGGGTCACTCTTTCTTCTGACATCCTGAATTTCTTCTCGGGAACGATAACTAACTCCAGGATCACTCATACTGTGTCCGTGATAACGGTAAGTCTGGAGCTCCATCAGTATGGGCCCGTTTCCAGATCTACAATAGTTGGTAGCAAACTTTGTTGCTTCCCGGACACACAGAATATCCATTCCATCTACCCTTAGTCCAGGAATAAAATTGCCCCTCTTGTAATAATCTGTGCTTGCTGCTGCTCTCTCAACAGATGTTCCCATTCCATAGCGGTTATTCTCGCAGATGAAAATACAAGGCAATTTCCACAAAGCTGCCATATTGTAAACTTCAAATAGCTGACCCTGATTAGCAGCGCCGTCACCATATAAAGTTAAACAGACCTCATTTTTTCCCATATACTTAGAGGCCAGAGCAATACCAGCTCCCAGTGGCACCTGAGCTCCAACAATACCATTGCCCCCGTAGAAGTTCTTGGCATACATATGCATGGAGCCACCTTTTCCTTTAGCACAACCTCCTTTTCGTCCTGTAAGCTCTGCAAGAATGGCTCGGACAGAAATCCCGCGAGTCAAGCAAATGCCATGAGCCCGGTAGGATGTGATGACATGATCTGTAGACTTTATACCTGCCTCAAGCCCTACACAACACGCTTCCTGACCATCACACAAATGACAGAAACCACGAATAAACTTCTGCTTATACAGCTGATCTGCCTTTAATTCCATTCGGCGTACTGTTTGCATCATCCGGTAGTATTTGAGGCCATCCTCCCTGGTGAGCTCTGTTGAAGCAGGAGGGCCCTCTTCCAAACGATAAAGATCACATTTCTTAATTTCAAAAGTAGCCTGTTTTGAATAGTTACAGGATCCCACCAGCACTCTGCTGGCGGGTTTCTGGGCAGCGATGCCTGACAGCACACGAGAGACCACTGATACGAGCATCTTCTTCATGGAGTGCGGAAGGTGGTGACGACAACTCCCACCGGTCCAAACCGTCGAGCTGATGCCCAGCGTTCCTTTCAGGTGCCAGAACGCCCACGTGGCGCCACAAATGCAGTGCTATGGAGACGAAGATGATGTAATGTGCAGCGAACCATCAAATCAGCATTAACTGAAAGTTAAGAAAACAGATTATTTCTTTGGGTGAACTACACCCCAATTCTAATGAATACCATTATTATAGGTAAACTGTAATAATGAGTCCCTTTTTTCTGTTGAACTCTATAGCCAAAACCAAACCAAACCAAACTAAATCAAAACCCAGTGTCATCAAGTCTATTAACGACTCACAGGGTTTAGGCTGTAAATCTTTATGGGAGCAGAAAACCGCCTCTTGTTCCAGAAGAGTGGTTTATGGATTCGAACTGCTGATCTTAGCTGCCCAACGTGCAACCCACTATGCCACCAGGCCTCCTTTACACACTATGCTTCTCAATGTTTTCTCCCTGCTGTATCTAATGGAAAAGAGGTACACATTCAAACCCTTAATGGACGCCGAAGTTCTGGGAGTTTAGGCTTACAGTGTTCTTACTAATATTTCTTTAAAGTCTTATTTGTAATATTTTAAATATGCATGGACATATTGTGGTTTTGAATCTTACTCCAAAATATTCTGTATTTATTTTAATGTAGAAATAGTCCCTTTTTTTGTAATTGTTTTTAAAAAAGAAAATGAAAGAAACGTGAGTTTCTGAAAATATGCCTATTTAACCCCGGGCTTCTAATACTTGGTCCACTCATATAGTACAAAAACCATAACCTAAGAATAACATTCTAAACTCAATGTGAATAAATAACGCTGTGGGTTAATGTGCTGAACTGCAAAGTCAGCTCACCAGCTGCTCCCTTGAAACCCTATACAGCTGTGGTCACTATGAGTTGGAACCAGCTCAATAGCACTTAAGAACAATACTTAAAATGGAGTCCTGATGTGGCACTGTGGAATAAGCACTGACCCTCGAAATACAAAATTGTAGGTTCAAATTCACCATCACTCTTAGGACATCCTATAAATGTTTCTATGTATCAGAATTTACTCAACAGCACATAACAACAATATCCTTAAAACTTTCTGCCACAAATATCCATAGAACACTTCATGACTTAGCAGGCTTTGCTTTCTGCTCTGATATAAAATTAAATTAGATTGCTCTTAGTCTAGGAAATTGAAAATTATGTTTGAATAATTTCTCTTTATTTAATAATCATTAGAAAGCATAACTTCTTATAAAGTGACCTGCCAAACAAGATACAGTTTGGACTACTTTTGTAGTTTGTGTAAGCCAAAGTTAATGATTCAATCATAAGACAGGAAATGGTAGGCCTAGTACCTCAGAAAACCTACTTTTTTACCTCTTGTGAGCTTTTTTCTATGAAGATGATTTTGTGCCTTACCAGGAAACCTATTCAATTTAGAATATTAACAGTTCACCTAATAGATGTTACATCTGTTTTATATCCATTGTCTACCTATAAATGATAACTCTTCCTCTTACAAATTTCCCTATTATATTTTCAAAGCAGCTACTTTATCGCTGGTTATAAGTGTTATTTTTGGATGTTTCTTTTGATACTCAGGCAATGAGGAGAAAATAGCTTGTTAAAAAGTTATGATACCTCCTAAAACTCAGTCCTTCCCCCACCTTTCCAACCCAGCCATCATAGGGCCTCATTTTTTCACTCAGTTTAACATTCTGCTATTGGAATTCATAGTCTTGCTGTGTTGTTTGCTCCGTCTTTCATAGTTAGCCTGTCTCTTCTGCTCTCTTTCATTCCTGCAGGTACTGGAGATCTCACGGGAGCATTATCTCCATGAGAATGAGAAAAACCACACTGGAGGATGGAACTGTAGTGTTAATGGGTCACTGAGTGACAGCTGAGCCTTGGTTCAGCGATATCAGCCAACCTAGTGCTGCCAGGAACACAAGAGCTATACAGTAAAGTGTGCCAATTTAATCTTGTCACATGCAGCCTGGGTTGCAAAGATAGAGCTCCTCTTAAAAGCCCAGTGTGACAAAACTAAACTCGACTCACACCAGAGGAGAACATGCAAAGATGCTAATTGGAAATACTTGTGCTACAGGTTCCCCACAGAAGATAGCCCTTTTTATGCAACAGATTCTGGTTAAGATACTAAATAATAAAACAGGCAACTTCAAGGATTCTGTTGGGCATCAGTCTCTCTGTAACATCTTAAATTCAGGTTAAAAACAGTAGCTAAAGTCATATTTGTATAATGTAATGGTGACGTATACTAATTAAACTGAATACTCATGATCATTATTTTTAAGGCTTGTAATGATGTCTTCTCAATCCTATTACATTTTCAAAGGAAAAATTAAATTCCAGACTTCAGTATAAAAGGAATCTTCAGTGTGAGGCTCTCCTCTCACCTGGCCTCCACGATAGACTGGATTCTAAACTGCTTATGGGCAATAGAGCCAATGATGGTGTTCTTTTCATCAAATGATTTATTTTGTGTCTTGTAATTGTTCAATACCATGTTTATTACCAAACAAAGCTAAGAAGTCATACGCCAGTTCACCACTAAAATATTTGCAATTAAAACCCCCATAAATTCTAAACTTTTAATTAACATCAAATCTCACTTTTAATCTATTTGAAATGAAAGGAAAACAGATGAGCACTTTTATAAGGCCAGTGGTAGACTTTACGTTTAATTAATGTTAAAAAAAAAAACAATAAAAGAGAAGCCAGTGATTATAGTAGCAGTCATTCATGTTCATGTGACAGAATTTCATCTTTCATACCTTATGGTTGATCCTTTAGGGGCTTTCCTGAATTTATCATAAAAGTGCCATCCTCATTGCATCAATGACAGACAAAAATAGTTTTCAATAAAAATCAAGAAAATGTGAAAAAAACAGTCAGCATGTTTGAAGGCTATTTAAATTATTCTGGTAATAATTTGTAATTTTTCACTACATGGCAAGTGAGAAAAGTTTTGTTTGTTTTTTTTTAAGTTGAACATATCCTAGATAAATAATAGCAGATCCCGTTATATAATTAGTGGCAGTATATGTTTGAGTTTTGTGGGTTTTTTTTTTTTTTTTTCCCATAGCTCTAAGATTTGACAATTAAAAATGATGACTCAGAACTTGATACAAAGAAATCAAGAGTACTATAAAAATCAGAGAAGAAACTTTCCCACTTGTCCTATATCTTTGTTTTCCTTGGAGAAAAGGGAAAATGTCAGTGTCATATATTCTGCTTTTAAAATGGTGATAAGCAAGATTTCTCTCTAAAGTTACGTTGTTGTTGATAAGTGCTGTTGAGTTGTTTCTGACTCATAGTGACCATATACAGGGTTTCCAAGGAGCCCCTGGTGAGGTTGAATGGCTGACTTTGTGGTTCTAAGAAACCCATAACAGAACACCAAGACTTCTCTAATGTTATAAGTGAGGCTATTTCAAAATAGTTCAGAGCCCTAGGCAACCATGTTTTTTTGAGTTTTGTTTTCGCTTTTTTTTTTTAAATGTGTTTTCACATCTCACTATGATCACAATTCTGAAATATCATTATATAAAAAATTCAGGATAAGAACCATCAAGTGGTATCATGATTGGAAAAAAGAAATTAAGAGGACATGATCCACAGTCTACCAGTTAGTTTGAAGGAAGGAAAAACAATACTGGTTATTTTTTTGTAGCAACTTGTGGATCTACCACCTTTCTCATACTGAATGACTTGCAGAGTTACCCAACCCCCTATCTCTAGAGTTTGCCATGAGGATCTAGCAGATAATGATGAAACAGATCACAATATGAAAGTATAAAACAAATATATATTCATTCAGATAGAGTCAGTCTCTACAAATCAAGATCTAATTGAATACGACTGGGTGAAATCAAATTTTATGTATAATCTGGTATAAGATTTGCTATGGTATGATGTCTTGACCAGCAATGCATAGGCATTGAGTCAAGAGTTTTTAATTGATTTATGATCGATACTTAGAGTTGTTTTATAAAATCATAATCCCCATTTAAAATAAAAATAATCAATTTAATAAATATTTTTGACACATCATGAAAACTTCAGAAAAGGTCCAGTCAGATTTGTGTATTTGTATTTCATTGACAAATATTACAGTTTTTGGGGAAGTATTATCTTTTACAGACATTAAGTCATACTGTGCAAAAACCAATGTCTAAAAATTGTATTCTTTACAGAAACATACATGTATCCCTAGTGAGCTGAATCGACAGCACTTAAAACCAACAAGATAGCCCAATAAACTTAATTGTAATGGCAGTGAAGTATATATTAAATGAACTAGTTAAAATTAACTCTTGATATTCAATAGCAAAATGAAGGCTTCTTTGCACAAACATGTAATATAACGGTTTCATATTAGCTGTATCATTTATGTGTCCTTCAATAATGCCTTCCAACAACGCTTGTTTTTCATAATGTTATGTAGAATATTGCTTGTTTCTAATATTAGCATGCTTGTGCACTAAAAAATTAGTACATGAACTTCTTTCTATTTTCTTCTTTTGCAGGAAAGTCACTGAATTAGCTTTAAAGAGGAGGGAAGAAAATTGGTAATATTCCAGATCACTGCTGCATACTATGTTGTTGTTGTTGTTAAGTGCCGTCGAGTCGGTTCCGACCCATAGCGACCCTGTACAGGGTTTCCGAGGGTGTAAATCTTTATGGGAGTAGAAAGCCTCATCTTTCTCCCGCAGAGCAGCTGGTAGTTTCGAACCGCTGACATTAAGGTTCGCAGCCCGATTCCTAACCACTACGCTACCAGAGCTCCTTCTACATACTATAGGGAAGGTAAAGAAGCACATTTGACCAACATTTGGAGGAAGATGCTTGTTAGGAAAAAAGACAAAGCTTGACCCCCATTTTAACAATTATTTATAGCCACATTTTCAGCATTCCTTTTGCTGGGCATAGTGATACCTATCACATCCTCTCAG